CACTTCCCGATCTCTTAGATCCTCATCTGCACTTCATCTGGTTCAACCTCGAGCTCGCCTTACCACCACGTGGAGCAGAGCTTTCAGTTGCTCTGCTCCACGGCTCTGGAACTCACTTCCCTCTGCCATTAGAAATACGGACTCTTTTCCATTATTCAAGGCACACCACAAAACCCACTTATTCAAACAAGTTTATTCCCTTTAGACCTAGACTTTAGAATTGTTTCAAATTTTGATGTATCTTGTTTGTTCTTATTGCCCTATCTAACCTCTGTTGTTTTTTGTTTTTATCTTTGTAAGGTGACCTTGGGTTTGAGAAAGGCGCCCTCAAATAAAAAATGTATTATTATAAACTCATGTTGCTTCAAATGAAACCATCAGAGTTAAAGGGGTTGAGGATGTTTTGATGGGCAGACCACATCCTGTCTTCTTCTCTATCTTTGCACTCAACACTGGTTCTCCACAAGGATGTATCCTAGGCCCTCTCATGAACTCATTACTCACATATTCCCTCTACAGGATACTCTATGAAGTTCACACCTGAGACTGCTTTGTTGGTCTGAACTTTATCACCAGTGAGTCTATGTTTAGAAGGCAGGTGGAGAAGCCTACTGATTGGTCTACAACAACAACCTATGGCTCAAAGTGACAAAGATGAAAGAGGTGGAACTCAGAAGTAGAGCCTTTGCCCATCGTTTGGAGAGTGGGAGACAAAACTGGCATAAATTATGAGGCTCACCACCGGCACTTTTATGAAGAGCCTGAAAAAGCTACTGCTCTCTTTACTGGTGGAGATCTCCCTGAGATGTTCCAGGGTGGTATGGAAACAGCTCTGAGGCTGACGAGGTAGCGCTGCAACGGCTGGATAGTGAAAAAGTGACTAATCTTCCTTCTCAGCAGATACATAAGCAAAGGACATGAGAGGATGAACCCCACACATCAAGCCCTTGAACTATTCACCCTTCTTTCTTCAGGCACAAGATTAAAAAGCCTCAAAGTCCAAACAAACCCCTCTTTCTCTTTTCCTCTTTCCCAGGGCTTTGAGGCTCGTGAACTCTGACCCTTCATGTATCCTCTCCTCTGTCTGGCTTCAGAGGTCTCCTCTTCACACAGCAATTGAAATTTGTAAAGACAGTTTCAGTTTAGAGTAATGAATGAACAAGTTGTCTCAAGTACAGTTTGAGAAGAATTATACAAACGCTAGAAATGCACTAATCAGAAACTCAAACTATAAATCGCCAAATACATTTTTACACTGTAAACTGTATCAAGTCACTGTGTTACTAGAAATCCTTTTGGAGAGGAGCTGTTAAACAAACCAACATTTATCTTTTGTGAGCAAGAAAAAGGCTCCATGTCACAGATTTTTATTGATTAGTTTTTATCTAAATTCCATTTGAAATGAGGTGCAGCTGTCAGCACCTGCATTTACGGAAGAAATTAAATTCCCTGCAGTAAAGCTATCTTTTAGCTGCTGGTTATGTTTTCATAACTATAAAAACACAATTCCACGTAAACTGTCGCTGTTCGGGGAACCGTTTAAAACTGGTAAAACAATTAACCACTTTTACAAAGAAATCCACTTAAAATCTCTGTAAAAAGAAATCCGTGCTGTGTAAACCAGCAGTCAGGTGAGCAGAAGCATACCGTTTTTCTCAGTGACCTTTTACACATCTGGTGGTTATTCTGACTTTTATTTTACACACCATACAGAATTAGCAAATAGCAAACATCTTGCTTTAGTCAAACCTTTCACACTAAGGACGTGCGACATCTACCACTTAGCTACGGTACCTTAGCAGATCAGGTAAAAATTTGCATTCCTCCTAGTTTTAGTGCATGTATACCGTTAGATGAACTGAAAGCCTAGGTGTTATATAGCCTGCTAATTGTTCCAGTCCATGCTTAAAATCTACAGATTCCAATCAATTTCCCATTCAATCCATTGTATTTAATCCAGTACAAACTAAGAAGTAAGTTACATGCGATCAAGTTTAAGCCAAATCACTTCCTTTCAATGCATATTCAGAAAAAATATCCGTCACTAAAAGCCATTAGAAATACATTTTAAATAACCAAAGCTAAATATCTTAAAAGTTCATTCAGTCTGTAAAGTTGTGCATGGTGATGACAGATGTGTGCCAGGAAATGGAGGACACCATTTGACCTGAGCATCACTGATGGACCTCAGTCCTTGTTTGTAGAGGAGCTAGAGCAGCCTACATCAGCCCATCTGCACAAGTCTGCCATTAGCAGTTCAAGGGTCCTGCCGCCACGTGACTGAATTTAAATGCCTTCTAATTGGACGACAGATGATTTAGAGGCAGATAAAAAAAGAGAACAAGATTTCAGTCAGCATCCTGCTCAGGATGAGATCAATACCTCTCTGGTAACAGAGATTGTCAAATTAAATTTTACTTGTTAGAAATGATTACAAGTAGTCACGCAAAATGGCTTGGCTTCGTGATGGGTGGGGGGTGAAACAGAGCATGGTGGGGAGTGGGTCACCCGGGGCACAAGTGATCGACTGGGTCTAAGCAGAGAGAATCAATACTGCAGAGAGCAAGAGTTTGATATTCCTCCCTGATAAGTCTTTGTGTCTTTTGGGTCCCGAGATAATAGAACACAGATACAATTCCAGTCTCACACACACACACACACACACACACACACACACACACACACACACACACACACACACACACACACACACACACACACACACACACACACACACACACACACACACTACCTTAAGCGTACCAAAAGGTCGGACACCATGCACACAAACGCAGCCCAGACAGTTATCTAATAGCATGGCAGACACTCAGCAGGAACTTTTAATCTTCCTCGGATTCAATGTGTCTCAGGTCTTCAGACTGAGACCCAAGAAGTCTGTGCAAAAAACACCTCTAAACAAAAAAAAAAAAAATGTTTCCACTGAAAAATACTTTTTCTGTGCCGCACCATCCATTCTGGAGCATTGCTTTTCCCCTGCTGCCGCTTATTTTCTACTGCACAGAAGTGTTTGTTAACACAGCCGAGATGGGATTCCTCTCCGTGTGACTTTCTATTAATAACTTGGCAAGATTGCGATCGTGTGATCACTGGTTTTACTAATTTCCAAGTATTGCTGTCATAAAAAACACCCAGTAATCAGCGGGAAATGTTTACACTGTTAGAACCAAGATACCTAAATCCTCCCTAATCCAAGATAATATTTATTTGTTTGTGTTAATTTTCATGCTGACATGAAACTCCTATTGAATTATTTTTTTTCCTTAAAAATGCAATGGATCCACTGTTGGCTGTAAACAAATCCCATAGTGGATAGAACAAAGGACATGTTCTAGTACAGTGTTGTGACAATATCAGACAAAGACAATCTGAGTAATACAAAATATAGTTTTCGAACAATTTAATTCGTTAATAGAACAAAATATCAACTTGGCAATGATTCAGACCTCTAGAGGTCATGATTCAGCATTAAGAACCACATGGATATGGCATATGTGGGAGACTTTCAAGGCCAATCCTTTGCAGACCAAAAAGAAGTCAGACGTGTCTCACATTTATTACAAACATCTTGATGGTTCCCCGGAATTTCAGGGGAATATTTTGTAGAAAGACGACACAAACATGGAACATTATTGGAAGCGTGTCCTCTGTTACAACTGCTAAAATTAACCCGGAGCAGTCAAGCATGGCGGTGGTAGTGTGATGATCTGAGGTTGCTTTGCTGCTCCAGCATCTGAAACTTCAAGTTGCTGTTCATGACGGAAAATGTCTGAGAATTTAGTGTTATTGCTCGGGTTGTCTGTCTGATGCTGGCACATTCATTTTGGAAGAAAAAATATGTAAGAAATTTATAAAGGAGCAAATACGATTACAGCACGGCACTATGAGGAGTCAGCTGTCTGGTGCACAATGAAGGAAAATAAAGCTTCCTCTCCTAAGTGCACGACGATCTCAGCAGCCGCTGCCCAGAATACTTCATTGAGCTGGCAGCAGGAGTGTGTCAGATAAACAACTCCACTAATGGCCAGAGACACCTTCAGTCCTGTGTGTTTGTACTACTCTCAACAAATGTTGATGAATATTTATTGTTTTCTGTATCGTGCATAAAACAAAAAAACAGTCTTCCTCTGGACGGATGAACAAATTACTGTCAGTATTTCCAAAACCCAACTTTTAAGGAAATGACATAAATACTGTGTTAGGTTTTATAGTACTTACAGTAATAAGCACTTTTTGGGTCACATCATCAGTAGTTGGTGTTATAATTAGCCATTTATTTGGAATTTTTATCTTGTATTCTGAGTTTATAAGGGATACTCTTAATGTAAAGAAGGGAATCACAGCGACTCCAATCAAATGTGACGACTGAAGACAGTAACGAGTAAAACATAGTAAACGCAAGTGTGTTGATTTTAAAATGAGAAGGCCATCCTCGCTGTATGAACATGCGTGCTTGCATCCTTCGGCTCAGCCTGCCTGAATCCCCTGAAGGCGGTCTGTGAAAGCTTCCTATAAACATAGCTTGACATTTTGTTGCCATTTCCAGGAAAAGCTCAAGCATAAACCACTGTTTACTTTCAGAAATCTGCTGTGCTTTACTGTCTGCAGCAATCCCAGATTTCATAAGATGGTACTCCTCTCCTCCCGTTGGCAGCCACCCCTCACTCTAGAGTGCAGACTGCTGTCTTCTTGAAATATCTCACCTCCCACCAGATTTCAGTTAGCAGCAACTCTTCCTTCAGGAGGACTTTTGTAGAGATCCTCTCATGTCAGACCCTGAGAATCTGAGCCTGTCTCTTTCTGCTGACATGGCGTTCTCATTCAGCGTGAGTGAGAGTGCAAAGAAACCTTTGCCTGATGATAATTTACCTCCAAACATTGTTGAAATATATCAGAAAAGGTCTTAAACACTAAGAAACAGGAAAATGCTTCACGAATTATCAATGGTCACCATTCCCAACAAGCACGGTCGTCTTACTCACCCAGTTTTGGCAAAGTTTGTCCAGTAGGTCATGACCACAGCGCTGAGCATGACGTCATTTTTGGAGAAATTGCACGGGAAAAGGTCAGTGGGACCAATCATAGGAATTCCAAACACGTAGGGCACCTCATCCCCATGAGCCGCGTCCGACCAGGCGGCCTTCATGAGGCTCTGGCAGTGGTGGTAGAAGGCGTAGAAGTAGGTGGGTGAGCCGTAGCGGGCATGGAGGTCAGCTGTCACCACTGACGGCTCAACCCACTGGTGGTCGGTGAACAGAGCAACCAGTGTCTTCCGTCTGGTCTCGGGATTGTCCCGGTCTGCCCAGTCTGTGTACATGAACTTAATGGTCTCCCTAAGCGTGTCCTTCCCCTCCGGGTATCCGTACAGGCTGTCCACAAAATCAGACACAGAGAAATCAAAGTCGTTCCCGGACACGCCATCCTCCGAATCCACCACGTTCTCCACAAACCGCAGCCCCTCACCCTGGTTGACCCCAAGCATGATGTCATAGTTGAGGAACTCGCCTTGCTCCATCAGAATCTCAGGGTCATCAGGAATGACATCTCCATCGATTACAGGTCCAAAGGCCACATGGTACCTTGCAGGCTGTATGTCCTGCTCCACTAGCTCCCTGGAGCTCTTCTTCCTGAGACAGTCCACCATGTCCGACGTGTCGAGGACGTTACAGCCCACCTTCTCAGCCAGGAGACGTGTATACTTGACTGGCTGGTAGTTGACGGCCCAGCTGGAGAGGGCCGACCCACTCTGAATGATGGCTCTGTGGAACAGACCTGCAGAGGGACAAATGGAGAAGAGACAGGAGGATGTTTATTGTGCCCTTATTAAAGATGATGATTCAGTTATGCTCCAAATCACACGAAGATGTTAATTTCGTTGCTGCCATGATCAAAAGAGGGTTGTCAGCCAGACAGTAGATAAGAATAACAAAGGCCAGACAGAACAAGTCCATGTTGCCACACAGAACAATAATGGAATCATTGCTGTGATAATACATGTGCAAATGGCCAGGTCTCTCAGACAGCTCCCAGACAGAGAGACCAATTAGTCATCTGTCTGTCAGACTCTCATCCTCCATCTGTGGTTTTGTCCTGCGTAGGAAATTTTACCAGTAATAAGATTTTAGTTTGATGTATATTTTAGGAGCAAATGCTGCCAGCGTGAGTCAATGACCTTTGTAGCAAACAGAGCGATGGATCAAAACTGGCAAAACAATCAATAGCATCAAATATATGAATTCTGCTCTTTGAATGAAACGCGTTATCGTCTGATTTAAAGCCACCTGAAAACTCTGTGCATCTGATTCATTTTAATGGCTCACTCAAATCAATCTTACTTCTTTACTACGGTTTCCAGACCCCGGACATCTAGGTGTTTAGGTTTAATCACAGCAGCACCGAAAACCAGTCAACAAGAAAGGTGTGGCTTATTTAGATAGTTTCACAATGACTGAAATTAAAGTGAAGCATTAGATAAAAGGTTGTTTTCTTTAAACTACTGGAAACAATATCAGAAGACATTTATTTGTCTACTAATTTTTACTTGTAAAAGACACTCATGTGCTTTTAACCAGCTTTGCAAAAAACAACAAAACCCACCAACATACTACATACTCTACACAAGCACTCTGAGTATCAGTTTACAGGAAAAGCAGTTATCAAATACTGAAAGTCAGAACCATCATGTCTGAATTGCAGCAAATGGATCTATTTTCATCCATAAAACACACAGTTGGCCTTTGCATCCATTTACAATCACAGATTTTTAAGAACAAAATGAAAACGTCCACATAAGTCTGTAGGTGGATTTCTATTAATAAAACGAGATTCCACCTCTCTACATTTATAGAAAGAACTGATCTGCATCTTTTCATCTGGAAGTACGGCTACAATAAGGTCAAACTACACAGAAGACCACGGACTGCTGCTTGTGTCCACACAGAATAAACAAGCTGAACGAGGAGTCAGCAGAACATTAGTTATGTGAATCAGCATTGTTGTTCATTCTCTGTGCATCAAGGGTTCTGATTTAGTACAATAATAAACATTTTAGAGGACATTTCTTTCTTTTATAGAGCCCAATAGTGTATTTGGGATTTAACCTAAGTTATAACAAAAAGCAAAAAATTCTGATGTTCAAACAAATAAGTGTAAAATAACCTAAAAGAATGGAAATGTTAAAGCTGCCGCCAGAGGCACATTACAGTCACCATGGTAACCACATTCCTGTGTCTCTAATCCTCTAACAAACAGCCAGGGTACAAAATCTTAGACTACAAAACACATTAACCTGTGTAGGGACATACGTTTCGACTTCAGCCTACTCCTTTTCAGACAGAGAAGAAGAAAAATGGGGTGATGATATGTATTTTTTCTGTTTTTTTTTAAATTATGTATGTTTTCTTTGTTTGAAATAAACTAAACTAAAAAAAAAAACAAACAATCAAAGAAGCAGAAGGTTCCGATGGCCACACATGGAAACATTTGTGTCTATAACAGTAAAAACGAGGTAAAAATATGCTTCACTTCCAGTTTTGAAGAAAAATAAAATACTGAACTGGGAGTCGGTTAGACTTTGGCTGTGCCATCGAGACATTTGAAAACCGGGAGTCCTAATGAAAACAAAATGGGTGAAATAAGACAAAAATGCCCAAATTTTGCTATAAACTGTTTTTTAGAAGAATGAGCTTTTTATTCAAATAGCATATTAACATGAAAAATGATTAAATGTACTCACACCCTTAATAAATCCAGAAAGACCAGTCACCCTAAAGTACAAGCTGAAAACAGCAACAATAATTTTCTTTAGAAATACGTAAATCGTCTCCCGACTTAAGACAAAGGGATCGTGAGCCTCTTCTCTGGGTCGAACCTCCTCTAATTATTTACATCCACTCTCTAACCTACACCCCCGTTCCTGTTGATGTGGTATTTAACAAGCACCAATCAAAGGACAAACTCAGACCACTTGCTCATGCAGCTTATTTCTCTGTGTCCGATGACTGCTGGAGTCAGAGAAAAGGCGCCTAGAATGTCACACGTTAAAATAAATGTCACTGCATGGAAGCGTGGAGCCTGAGTTGGTGTGGTTTCAGCATTAATGTGGGTGGTTGTGCTGAGGTTGTGGCGTTCATGAGGTAAACAGCAGACTTTCATGACAACTATCTCACTTAGCTTGTTTTAATCAGAAACGCAAAAGCAAAGTGTTCACTTATTTCTGTAGTTTTGCTTGTGAGTGAGCGGACTGTTGAGGGTGTCTCTGCTGGCTCTGTTCATCACACACATGGACTTGCTGGATTCCAGCACATCTCTAAGCCAACTGCTTCTACTCATCCTCACAGCGAGAGATTATTTGACTTGTGCATCTTGTGCTTCTTACTTCACAAATGCGAGCATAACCCTTCCCTGCACCAGCAGCACCCTTCAAGCCGTCTTGCGGTTGCGCAGCTCTGCATGACGGTGGCCTGTACCATGTCCTGGAGGGTGGAAGCAGATGTCGAGGGTTTCACCCACTTGAAAGAATTAGAGGGGCAGGCGTGAGATGAAAGATGGCCGCTCGGAGGCTGAGAAGGGCAGTGTTTTGGTTTAATCTCACTATTTCTTCCATCCCCTTCCACTTCTCTCCTCCCAGCGCTCTTCAGTGGTATTGCCTCTCTTCATGTCTCAGCTCATAGTGCAAACAGAGGCAGCCGCGGAGCAGGGAGACTGTCCTGAATCCAAATGCCTGCCAGTGATGCCACAGCTACTTTTGGAGTGTCTTTGATCAGAAGTTGCTGTAGGAATAAAAGGCTTCCAGTGGAGAAGTTCCCATTTCTGTGATTGCCAAGGTGATTTGACAGACATATCAAATCCATTTGCTGTAATTGAAGGATGTGACTTAGCCTGGTCCTGGCTTCTACCTGCTTCCAAACTAACACAGCTGAGGACGAGGCTGCAGCTAAGGTTGACATTACTAGATTTGCTCCTGCTTTGGGTGATGAAAAGGGAAGAAGTGCAACGGAGGTTTTACCATTGTTTGTCAGGAAACATATAAATCCAGCACACATGGGCTGTCAGCGGGCCAATAAATATGTATTAGGGCTGTGTGTGATGAGCCCCACTGTGATAGGAAGCTCACAGGGGAAGGTCAGAGAGAGGGAGGGCGAGAGACGAGACGAGCACAGGCTTTATCGCCCGCTGAGGGAATCCACTAATTATCCTCCCTGGGAGGTGTAAATGTCTGTGGGTGCTGACTTTGATTGATAAGTCACAGAAATGATGAATAGACCGACAGATGACGGGCTTCAACGCGATAAGGGTTAACTGTTTGTGTCATTGTTTTGTCTCGATCTGACATCTACGGCAGCGAGCGGGTTCTCACTCAATATCCAGACGGATTAAATGGAAAGTCGCTCCACGGAAAATGAATCAACACGTGCGCTGTGCTCGCGTCCGGGCTGGTTTTATATTTGCGAGAGCAACAGATAGCCCTATCGTTATCTGCCTGTGTTTGACATGCGAGAGCCCGACACCCAGACTGTGAGCAGATCCATCAAACCGTAGCGTCGCAGGCAGATTGAGGTCACGCTGAATTATGACTAGAGCTCCAGGGTAATCACTCATTGGGCCCATGCTTAAATGCCGTTGTGCTGCCCTGCAGCCGCCCTCACGCTGCAGGTTGCTGACTTCGAACACTCAGCACACCCCCACCTCTCTGCCCCCCCGCCCCTTCGCTAGACACCGGTTAAATTCAGGCTCTGCATATGCGGAGAGGGTTGTGGAGATAATTCACAGTAGAAAAAGGCTTGACTTTGTGGTATGGTGACCTCTGTATTGGTCACAGCACACTCACACCCAGAGGCTCCAAAAACTGCTCAAGTCTTGTTTTGACAGCAGCAATATGAATAAAGAACGATGCTAATGAGATGACGAGTGACTAATATGATGTGGCAACCACTTGTGTGCACGTTCAATTTGTGCTAATAGACAAACATGTTCTGTTTGGTGAGGAATTAGCACCATGATGACAGTCTTTTATATTATCCAACAGCTGGCAACATCCTCTGAAGCATCAGCTTGTCTCTGCACCCTTCATAGCTCTGAAGAAACAAGAATCCAACAAAACTAAAGGAACGTTTGAGCTTTTATGAGTCTGAGATGAATAAACATCTTACCTTCTGATGCATTCCTGAACGGTTAGGCAACGCAGGTGATAAAAAGAACAATTTGAACTCAGCTTTAACCTTTAAGGCCTGATTTGTAAAGAAATAATAATAATCATCATCATAATCATAATAATCACTGATTCTGTTCATAACTTTTATGGACAGGATTTCTAGGCACAGCCAAGGTGTTGAGGGGATCTGTTTAGGTGGCCTAAGAATCAGGTTTCTAATTTTTGCAGATGATGTGGTCCTGGCTTCATCAGATCGTTATCTCCAGTTTTCATTGGAGCGGTTTGCAGGCGAGTGTGAAGCAGCTGGCATGAGAATTAACTAAATACAAGACCATGGTCTTGAGTCGGAAAAGGGTAGAATGCGTTCTCTGGGTCAGGAATGAGGTCCTGCCCCAAGTGGAGGAGATAAAGTATCTCAGGGTCTTGTTCGCGAGTGAAGGAAAGATGGAGAGCGTAATCAATAGGCTGATTGGTGCTGCGGCTGCAGTGATGCGGGCGTTGGACCGATCTGTCGTGGTGAAGAGAGAGCTGAGCCGAAGGCAAAGCTCTCGATTTATCGGTCGATCTATGTTCCTACCCTCATCTGTGGCCACGAGCTTTGGGTAAAGACCAAAAGAAC